GCCGCTCGTCGCGCCGGACCTTCTCGATGTTCTCGCGCGTCCACACATGCCACTTCTTGTGCTTGAGGATCCGGAGCCCGCCGCCGCCCATGCTGTTTGGAGAATTCTGTGGAATCGGTTGTGCCAGAAAAGGGTGCGTAGGACGAAAAAGGGTTTCTTGGGCATCTGACGTGGCACTCGGTGGGAGAAAGGAAGGAAGGGCCTGGGCTCTTACGGCCTTGGTTGCGCAGGAAAGCACCACTTATTATGTAAACGGATCGCGTTGTTTTATTTTTCAGGTTCTTCTCTTGGCCCATGTCGTCCACGACATGACAACGGCCTTGATGGCGGTAGGCCGCGACAACATCAACTTGCCGTCAAGGGGCTAAGTTCGTCGCGACGACGCTCAGTACGGAGCTTGCCGTTGTACTTGCCGACACGCATGCGCACAGCTACGACGTACTCTCACTGCAGCTGGGTGCAGCTTCAGTACGTCTCGTCCAGCAATGACATTCACAAGGTTATGAACATCACACAAAGCCACCGGCACACTCGAATGTGGGCTTCGTGTGATATTCACAACCTTGTGGTCGTAGTTATTGCGGTGGAAAAACAGAGGCTGGGCTCGGTGGCGGATAACAGCGCACCAAAGCACTCGCAATTTCACGGAATTGGGGACACCGAAAAGTTGCGTGTTGTTAGCCTCATTATCTGGAAATCTGGTGTGGTGACGAAATGACTGCGGCCTCCAAGCTGGAGCTTTTGACCACAGTGAGTGGTGCGACGGCTGGAAGATTCAAAGAATCACTAGGCCGCGCGGGCAACCATATTGCACTCCAAATGAAATCGCCTAGACTTGGCACATTAGTAGAGGGCGATGTGGAGAGCACGGAATGCGAGGTCGCGTCGACGTCCGAGGTGTACATCAGTAGTGAGACGGGATCCAAGGTCCCAGCTGAAATCCTAGTACCATCTGGGAGGCACCACGCCAGGACGCCGACGCAAGGGTACCCTTGGCCGACGCCCCTTGTCGACATCATCACGTGGAGATGAAGTTGCCCAAAGTTGGCACAGTCACTTTGGAGAGCAGAGCAGACCATGCTACGTCACTGTTGCAGTCGTAAACGCGCGTAATGCTCGACCACAGATACAAAAACGCTCTTTAAACGTTAAGAAGCAAATAACCGCGTTGGCACGCTGTATACACTTGAAGCAACCCCTTTCACTGGGTCAAAGTTGCGATTCATAGCAACATTCTCGTAATTACAACGTCCAGAGCCATCGCATCCTGTCGAGCGATTGGAATGAGAGGCTTTGAACTCACAATGAGAGGCTTCTGTACTCGCGGTGATGCATTATCACAACGCGTGTGATGGCATTTATGTGGCCAGAGGTCGCAAAATGCGAAAAACACTCGATCGCATTATGACGTGGCACTCGGAGAATGTACCATTTCCGCGCAAAAGTTCAGTCGTGTAAAACCAAGTGTAAAAACGAGCACCGCAGAGGCGAAACGCAGTGTTTTTACACGAGAGTTGGAAAAACCTTGAGCGGCGCTCATTCTGCAATTTGCGCCCGAGGGCCTCGGCCGCACGGCACCGCGTCGCTCGGCAGGGCGGTCGCAAGCGGGCGTCCTGTCCACTGTAGACGGTGAAACTCGTGTGGCCGAGGTCCTTCTTTCGTCCAGCATCCATACATTGCCCGACATTGGCTCACCAGCCAAGCGCTTGCAAAGATCGCTGCGTCCTCATGCAGTATGCGAATGCTTCTCGCCGAGGACCGATGCCACACCAAGCACGATTGGTGGTATCAGTAACGTTCTGAGCCGCGTCGCAGCCATCGAGCGTCGGCGCTTGTACCTTGACACAGGTCACTTGGCGCAAAAGAGGCTCGCAAAGGTTTCGCTTCACAATCGGGTCATGGCTGCTGGCGTCGCTGCAGCGCTGGTCACAGTCATCGGCGCCGTAGCGGTAGAAAGGCCATTGCTTCCACGTTAGCGCACAGTGAGTTCTGTAGTCGATGCGCCGAGACGAACGCGGATAGCGACAACCTCGAGCACCTGTGCGATGGCCTCGGCCCTTGTCACACGCGTTGCGTCGTGTCGAAGTGTCCGGACAATATCCGGGCATCAAAATCAAGTGCAATTCCAAAAGTGGTGACGCGACGACGAGCGGTGACGACGTGGACGCTGCGGCACAAGCGCACCGCGTCGCGTTCGGAGCGCGCGCGTCATCTTGAGCATCGAGTCTGGTGGATCCAACTTGAGCACCTCACGCATGACGTCTCGCTGCTTGCACACGACAGCCAGCGCCAAGCAGCGAGCCGTTGGCGGCGCAGCGACAACATCCCGCCCGCCGCAAACCTCTCGCTCGACATCGCGTCAGATGCAATCTATGTCCGAAGTACCGACGACCGGAGCTTCCAGCCCTAGGCGGTTAAAGTGGCCGCGCGCGCCCATGGTTTACGGCGTGCTTGGAAGGACCTCGTTCTTCAATGCGATGACCCGGCGCTCGCTCACGGTTGGTACAAGGTACCACATATCTTTGACGCCACTTGCGTCTCACAGATTGATTAGCTTCCTGAATCGAACGAGGTTGCTGCCACTTTTTGTGGATCGCCTCCACCACGTCGTGCTTGACCCCAGGAAGAAGCATGCGCGCGCTCGTTCCGGACCAGCTCTGAATAGCATTCTTGACGCTTTTGAGCAGACACCTCTGACGCTGACGACGCGGTGGACCGACCATTGACAGAGGACACCGACGAGGTCCTCTATAATGCGCCGTCGCTCGCAGATATCCTCACCGCAACTTGCGCGCCTTTCGCCCAAGACACACGAGACCGAGCTTCTTGCGCACTTTTCGCGCCTTTTCGTGCTCTTGCACCACCCGCTCGTCGTGCACGGCGCGCGCAAGGACGCCGTTGCAACCTCCAGGCCCGGTTCGTCCCGGGAGACGACCTTGCACCGCCGGCCGAGAACGACGACGAAGACCACGATGACGAGGAGAATGACGAGATGGTGTCGGCGGGCGTGACCACGTCGACGACTATTTACGCGGAGCCGGGTCTCACAGACGTGTCCCTCGAGGCCAAGCTCTGCGCTGCATCGCGAGCGCGCAGCGTGTTCTTTCGACGCTCCTCGAGATTGCTGGCAACGGTATCAACGGAGCGCTCGTCTTGAGCAACGTTAACCAGTCGCGCGTTCCCACGACGCTCGAGGCGCCGGCAACTATTAACGTCGCAAGTGACGACGTGGGCATTTATTACACGCCGGACGGCATGCTGTATGCACGCGCTTTTCGATCTGGAATGGATGTTTTTATTGGCCCAATTCTTGATTCTTTATGGCCAATCACAAGACTTGGTCCACAACCGCGTCTTAAATAGTGTGGGTACGATTCAGCACAACGTCGAGTAGCAGCCCACAGACGCGCCAGCGCCACGTAGGAGCCATGTATACCTCCCCAAGCACTTGCTAAATGAAGTACATGTCGTTTCAGACGCTGCACGTAGCGCAATCACGCGCAAATCCATTTTCCATTTTTCGAGGTGGTGGCAGAATTGCCCAAATACTTCACATGACATCGCGGGGTTCCAAAGCTCCAAGGACCGTAAGACTGACTGCCACAGTTGGCGATGGGTCTCGACCCGGTGCGCGACCAGCTTGTTGGTCGCCGTAGTTGCTTGAGCACTCACACTAAACTCGAACTGCCGAGCGTCGATTTTCAGGAATTTCGACATGCAATTTCGGTTGAAAATGCGTCGAAATCGCGGAAGCCGAGGACGTCGTCTCTTCTTATTTATGTTCGAGAGCGTGTTGCATGTGGCCGAGGAAGGCGGAGTGCGCGCAATACCGCTGCGTGATGAGGCCTTGTTTTCCTCACAGTACTTCAGTATAGCAAAAAGCACACTATATCAGAATATTGTTTGCCGCAGCCATTTGCTCTCGCTACAGAGCTCGCACAGCGACGCCACGTGGCATTTTGGACTCCCCGAAGTGTGGTCTAGCACTCTGGCAAGTATGGGCGATTTCTTTTTCAAACTTCATTTGGTCGATCCGCTGGCGCGGCGGGCCTGTTATCTCCAAAATATGGTTATTTATGGTTGTAAATGGCGAACGCCAATAACAACAACAGGCGACGCCAGAAAGACGACGCCGAGGCTCCTCGGGCACCACTGACTCTGCTGCATTGGGCTCGAGGGGACTCCATCAAGGGTCTTTACGCACACGTCGTCACGAGGTATCGCTCGGTCGCAATGCAGTGTTCCTCGTATCATTTTCGTCAGCGCCAGGCCAAAGCGTTTCAGCTAATCAGAGCAACCAGACTTTGGATTTGTGGCCAATCAGAGTGGCAAGGATGTTGCTTTGGAGCCAATCACCAATGTTCTTGCCGCAGTTCTTGAACCGGCCATCGCCACCAGCACATGCACGTGGTACTAGTACGTGGCAAGCCGTGCGCAGCCCTCAGGCAAAGGCGCTCACGCGACGTCGCTGTAGGTACAGTGTGTATGGCACAGCCTATCCATGCGTTATAAACCACCGAGTCGGCCCTCGGGCGGAGCCCTGGCTAACGACGACCTCTCTCGCACGTCGTCCAGCGCTGCGTCGTCTTTGGAGCGCGCGCGCCATCTCTCGGCGCGGATATCGATGGCTCGAGCTCGAGCATCTTACGCACGATGCCCTCCTGCTTGTACACTGCACCGAGCCGAGACTGCTGGCACCGCCACGCCAACAAATTGCTCACAGCGAACCTCTTGTTCGACAACGCCTGTGATCTGGTCTGTGCTAGGGCTGCCAACGAGTCGAGCTAGCCCTCAGCAGCCATCAACTTTGACCGCGCGCACCCAAGGTCCACGACGCAGACTCGAGCATGGCATGGACCTCGATCTTGACAGCGTCGGCGCAGCGTACTCCCGTGTCTGGCACGAGGTACCACACTACTCTCACGCGGCATTTGTCTCACAATGTGACTAGCGCCTAAATCGAACATTTTTGCCGCTGCTTGTGGGTCTCCTAATTCGTCGCGAGCGTACGCGGCCCAAGGTAGAAGCAAGTGCGCGCGCTCGTTGTATATACGGTATTGTCATAGCGTCCGCGGTTCAAACACAAAGAGCAGTATGCGTGACTTTCTCGAGGCAGTAGATGCTTCTGGCGCTGACGCTGTGGCCAGCCAGGCTCGCGGCAGAAGGCACCGACGTAGTCCCCTACAATGCATCGTCGACGCTGCATTATCCTCCACCCCGCGCGCGTCTGCCGCGCCGCTGGTGCCGTCGCGGCACGTGAGACCGCTCGACGTCGGAACGAAAGTTGCTCCTCGACGAGACGACGTCACTCGCACCGGCACTCACCCTTGCACTGCAGCGGCTGGTGCCTCCCAAAGACCCGAGCTCGCCCTCGTTGCTGTGGCCGTCGGTAATATGTATGGTTTTGTAGTGATTTCTATTGGGTATACACACTGCAATGTACGCTCGTACCGATGAAGACACCTGTCGACGACTGCAGTCGGTTTGCTCATCCTCAGCCTCTCGAAGACCAAGCGCTCGACATTCGGTGGTTTCTTCACGGTATTTCTGTCTCTCGCATTCATTCTTGACGAAGACAGGCTTCACTCTGGCAGCGGTATCGACCGTCTTGGTCTGGTCGGGACCACTTGATCGCCGCTACGCAGCTCTTTTGAGCGACATGCTCGGTGACCTCAGCGTTCTCCTCGCCGAGAGCTCGCTGCATCTGCCAACGTCGTTTCTCCCGCAGCTACTGGACGCACTGCTGCGAGTGACGTCAGACCGCTTTGCCGACCCCGCGCTCCTCCTGCGCGTTCCACCACTGCTCGTGTCGCAGCAAACTAACTTTTAAGAATCCTGTCGCCGCACTTTTCGTGCACACGGCGCCACTCGCATCGGTCCTCATGTCTATCGCCAAGCCGGACGAGGTACACACTCAACCTCGTGGCCGTTGGATGATGCCGGCTCCTCAGCGCTGTCAATCCGATGCGGCTGCACGGTGGCTCGGCGTTCAAGAGATTCGTGCTGTACGCAGCCCAGATTTTCTTCGCCACGAGCTAACCTCCTAATCTCCTTACACTTTCAAGTTTGATGCGTGTAATGTCTATCATAGCGAGCTGCCTCATTCCCGCGCAAGTACATTCCCACGTCGCGCAGGATTTTTGGCCAATCAGATGCTAAGAAACTTTAACGGGTTCGTCAAATTTCAATCACAAGTTCTTCATTACCTGCCTCACCATAGAGCTTTAGCGACGGATTGTATCACGTGGCCTCGGTGCCCTTGTGGTTGAATTTACTGTGGGTTGGACCTAGGCTTGGTTGGATGTCACGTTGGGTTTGTGTATGCGTTGTTCGGACTTGCTCTGTGGATAGAACGTATATTCAAATAAGTAATGCAATTGGTTTGTTTCATGGTTTACACCAAAAGAAAGTATAGACGTGCAGTTTGGACATTAGGCCTTGGACTTGGTCGCTTGCTCGATGCGTAGCACGAGGAGACGCAGCTTCTCTTGGTCGTCAGGAAGTGCATCGTCGCAGTTGTCACAGGTCATCGCCTCCATCGGTTGGTGTGTGTCGCAGCAGGTGCAAACAAGATCGTCGTCGATCTCCAATCCGTTCTTCTTGGCGACCGAGAGACGCCTGAGGAGCGTTTTGAGCTTGGACGCAACGGTAGCGAGCTCTTCCGCGCAGCCTTGGCAGTGCATCTGAAGGAGCGAATTGGAAACACGGCAGAGCTGACACACGATTTGCGTGCTCACAGACTTGGTGTTCGAGGTCGCCTACAAGGACGGTGGTCAGATGTATTCACAATTTGTATGGGTGGTCCGACCGCCGACACTGTCGATGCAATCAAAGTTGTGGGCGTGACGGCAGCCGGTGCGGTATCGGCGTCGCTGGTCACATCGCTCGTCGGTGGCTGTGGGCTCTCGTCAAATATGGCAGTCTAGAGGCACAGCGTCATTCCACCAACGACCGTGCCACAAGCAACGCGTACCGTGGGGCTACCTGGACTCGGCTCGGCCAACTCGGTCGTTTGCTCACTCTTGATTTGCGTCACCAACGCTTCCTCGCTGCGATAGAGTAGCTTTTGGAGCGACTGGACAATCATGTGCGCTGACGGACGCTGCGTCGGGTCAAACGACAGACAGGCGTCGGCAAGGTCACGCAACCACTGCGGACAGTTGGCGCTCACTGTCGGACGGAGGTTGCCGAGACGCACGCCATCGATGATACCCCAGTACCCGAGGTCTTTGGTATCGTGAAAAGGCAACTGAAGCGTGTCCAGTTCGGTCAAGATGACGCCAAACGAGTAAATGTCGGCGGCAAAACTGTACTTGCTTGTCGACGCAAGCACCTCGGGTGCTGTCCAGTACGGTGTGCTCTTGCCCGTCGTTGCGTTCGACTCGAGGCCGCAACCGAGGTTCGCGACTTTAATGTAGTTGGTCGACGAGAGAAGTACGTTGTAGCTCTCGAGGTCGTGGTGAAGCAGACCGTTGTGGTGCAAGTCAGCGAGCGCATTCGCAAGGACCCACGCAACTTCCAATGGTAAGACGTTGACCTTGGTGGAGTCACCGAGCCGCTTGGCGTCGAGGTAGCTGCGCAAATCACCCGCGTCCATATACTCGAGCACGAGCTTAGGACTCGATGTGTTGACATCCGACACGGCGAGCAGCTGTTGCACGTACGGCGAGTTGCACCTAGATTCCCACGATGTTCAGATGATTATACAAGATCGTGGTGATCTACTGCTGCATGGTCTCCATCTCGTGGATGATTGCTTGGGCGGAGGACTCATCGGCAGGCGTTTTGATGGCGACGACACGATCGTTCAACATGCCCTTGTACACGGCACCATACAATGGACTAGATTGCTCCATCTTGATGTTAGTGGCTGGCACCTAAAGCCGCCCATGTTAGAGAAAGGTCGATCGAAGCGATGTGTACGCTCGGGATAACACGGTGTGCGGCATTCTGGAGCATCGCCGCCAGGCGTCGGTGGCCCATTTGGACGGCCAGAATCACCGGCGTCACGCCCCCCTAAAGAGCAACAACAATGTCATTGTCATTAGTGTCGTCGACCGCATTTTGTTGCACCGCATTGCGAACGTCGACGTTGATGCTGGGCGATCGCAAAAGCGACATCAACGTCTTGTGGTCGTTGGTTTGTACAGCGAGATGCAGAGAAGAGTCGCCCGCCTACACCGTTCCAGCGTCGCTTCGATGCTCAAAAGACAAGTCAAAAACAGTTACCTCGTTCGCGGCGTTGGAATCACTGTCGTCGGCCAGCAGCACTTGGCTGGCGTCGTTGTCGTTATCGGCTTGGGCACGCTCCTACACGACAGACATGAATAGCCTTGATTTTTCTCAAGCGAGTTGTACGTTCGTGTCTTGTGTGTTCACAGGTCGACCCACCGAGGCCTACGTTGAAGGACATGACGTGTTACATGCAGCAGTCGTACCCTCAAAGATTTGTGACCGACGTCGAGGCGGTCGCAAACCCGCTGGACAAGTAGGCGCAGCAACTCCTCCGAGCCGCAGATACGCGTGACGATGTGGTCTAGCGTGGCCTGCGAGAGCTGAGAAGCCTACGAAGGCTTGCAGAAGAATGTGTTCGATCGTTTAGACTACCTTTTGCTTGGTCAATTTTTCTGCCTGTAGCAGGGTGTTGATGACGATTGGGTGGGTCGCCAGCATTAACGGCGTCTTGTCCGTCTAGAAATCACGTCATCCCAAAGCTTTAATGAGTGTTGAGATGGCGATACCTTATCCTTAGCAAAGACATTGGCGTCGATGTCCAAAAGGTACTTGACCACACTGTCGTGATCCTTCTCGGACGCAATGTGGAGTGGTGTCTGCCCCATCTAGTTTAAACTATATATGAGCTGGACGGATTCTATTGCAGACAAAATCGTCTACCGCGTCGCACGCCTCAACGTTGACGCCACACTGGACGATTTGGTGAAGGACGCTCATGCTCCCGCCAATTGCAGCGGCATGCAACAGTGTCGATCCATCCTAGCATCGCAATGATGTCTTTTGAATACGAATCATCTAGAGGCAGTACATGGGAAATGATGTACGGGCTGGCGTTGGCACGAAGGAGACACTTGACAACGTCGGCGTGGCCACTGGTCGCAGCGCCAAAAAGGGGTGATTCCCCACTCTACACCAGTTCAAGGTTAAGGTGAAAATGGAAATGAAGTAGAGTGCACGTGGTTGGTCACGTCAATGCCGTTCTTATTCTTGGTTTTGGGGTGTTGGAGCAGCATCGTGAGGATGGACATGTGTCCCTTTGCAGCTGCCATATGCCACGCCGTCTCGCCTTTCTAGATCGAGCCAATACGCTTTTGACCGTCCGGCTCAGAACTGCATACCTCATTGGCCAATGAGCAGCTGACGCCCAGACGCAGTAGCTGAGCCACCGTGCTGTCGTCGTTGGT